TGCGGGTAAAAGTATGCTTAGCTCAAGAATCATTTGACTTTTTTGTTAAACCACTTTCAAGAATCGTAAAAATTCTCAATTTACGTATATTCTACGTAGCACAGAATATATATATATATATATATTTGCATTTGTGTATTACCTATATTTAAAACAATGAAGTATTCGAGTTTTTCCACCAGATGGCAGTTCACAACTGCAAAAGGAGATTACACCTTAGGAGACAATCATGTAATTTCTGAGTAGGTTAAGTCATTTAAATCTGAGCACTTCAAGACAATCAACAGAACTGACGATTAAACGACAAATTCGAGTTCAACGAAGATTTCTTTTATTGTTAATAGTACCCCAAAGGCTCAGCGGTAGGCTGGAGGTTTATAGTGCTAAAATTCTGGATTAGGTTCCTGGTGAGCACAGGACAGACAGCCCATCTTGTAGTTTTGTACTTAACAAGATATAAACAAGTAATTGTTGATCAGCAATGACTTTAAAATCAGCGTGGTTATGTGTATTGTTGTGGTTTAGCGGTTATTTTTATTGTCGTGGTTTTAATTAATTAAAATTTGAGTTATATTGCTATCTCTAAATGATATTAGAATAATATAACACTTACTGATTTTAATGGTTGAAAAAAAAAGAGGAAGAAGGTGAGATAAACACTAAACTAAAACAGGAAGTTATTAACAGGTATGAACAACTGCAAGTCCAATGGCCTCGAGATCAATAATATGGTCCTATTCGTTGGTCCGGGTAGCCCAAAAGTTGGCGATGGGTTCTGCAGACTGTTTGCCTTCCCTTTCATTGGCAGTTCAAAATTAGGGTATGTTTGTTTGTTTGAAGTTAAGCACAAAGCAACACAATGGGCTATCTGTGCTCTGCCCACTACGGGTATCAAAACCCGGATTCTAGCGTTGTATGTCAGCAGACATACCGCTGTGCCGCTAGTAGGCTTAAAATTAGGGACGGCAGCAGAAAGCCTTTGTAGCTTTGCCATAAATAAAAACAAACAATAATTAAAGTGATTATATATATATATATATTCTTTTTTTTAACCAGAAGTGGTCCCCCAGTGGCACAGCGTTATGTCTGCAGACTTACAATGCTAGAAACCGGATTTCGATACCCGTGGTGGGGAGAGCACAGATAACCAATTGTGTAGCTTTATGCTTAATTTCAAACAAATAAAAGACGATTCACCAGAAGTGAAATTGAAAAGAGAGTCTGTGACATAGAGGCCTAAAACGGACTCAAACCCCATAAATATTTAAAGGGGTCATCAGGCCTGGTTTTGTTGTATTAGGTTCAAGCGGTATAATCTCACACGTTTCCATATTTAACACTAAAGATAAACTAGATATTGTAAGCAAGTATTAGGGCAATAATAGCAGCCCGTGACACGAATATCAAACGCAGGTATCGTAAAACCCGTGTCTTAGTAATCGTAAGTTTTTTAGTCTGCGTTTTAATAACTCTAATGTTTTTAATGTGCTTTTTAATAAACGTAACGTTTTTAGTTTACGTTTTAATAACCGTAACTTTTTTTAGTTTGCTTGTATGAGAATAGAACACTAAATGATTTTATACGCTATGTCACTTACGTTATTGAAATTGAAGGATAAGCTGTTTCATTTACAATGTTTGCAATTGGCAATTTCCCCTCCCCCTTTATTTAGCATTTTAGATCATTTATCTGATTTAAATTTAACCCATGTTATATTTTTTTAGGGTGATTCAGGAGGACCGATGGTGATTCAAGAAGATGAACACTGGGTTTTAGCGGGAATTATCTCGTGGGGAATTGGTTGTGCCTTGCCTAACCAACCAGGTGTTTACACTCGCATCTCAAAATTTTCTGATTGGATTAATCAAATTATTGTGTTCTAGTGAAAGCAGTTATTTTACGATGGACACTATAATGAGGAACCATGGTGTCAAACTTTTGTGGCCGAAAAGACAACATCCATAAGGTCATTGATCTCAGAAACTACCTGCCTCTCACTACGTAATGGTGGGATTTTTATATAAATATTGTAAATTATATTCTTCACATATCTATACTATAATGAGATGGTGCTATGTTGGGAAATAGTTAGGTTTAAGATATTTTTACTTTCATTTTAAACCATCGCGGTCAGCCAGAATTTTAAGGGCCACATTACGAGAAGACGAATGCCATTCCCATGGACCAAACCGAAAGATTGTATGGAACCTACTTGATGCTAATCATCAAATGGTGATTTTGTTTAAAGCGCTAATTTTCTACCCATGAGGAATCTAGTTTTTTTTTTTTTTTTTTGCTCCTATGATTTCCTGAAATTACAGATTCACTGTTTTTGTAATGATTCTGATTTCGTTAATGTAGGTGTACGTAGAACATATTTATACAGCCTTGTATGTAAAAATAATATTAGGTATTGCTTCTGATACCTAATTGACATTTAAGTTTTTGCCGTTTCGCTAATACTAGAAGCAAATAACAGTAAGCAACACAATTGCCTCTTGTTTGATACGGCTCACGTCACCGAACTGCAAAGAAATTTCACCTCATTATGAAACTTGCTTTCAACTCAAACTTGTGAATTTTAATAAAATAGTGAAGTTTCCGATCTGTAAAAGAAACTTTGAGAATGGCCCTGCATGGCCAGGTGGTTAGGGGGCGCTCGACTCGCAATCTGAGGGTCGCGGGTTCGAATCCCCGTCACACCAAACATGCTCGCCCTTTCAGCCGTGGGGGCGTTATAATGTGACGGTCAATCCCACTATTCGTTGGTAAAAGAGTAGCCCAAGAGTTGGCAGTGGGTGGTGATGACTAGCTGCCTTCCCTCTAGTCTTACACTGCTAAATTAGGGACGGCTAGCGCAGATAGCCCTCGTGTAGCTTTGTGCGAAATTTAAAACAAACAAACTTTGAGAAACGAATGGGTAATGGGTTGTACTTTATTTTAACGCCAAAATGGATTAAAATAGAAGGTGTATCTTAATTCCCTTTTTAAGAGTATATATATATTATTTATAAACATGCTATGTATAGCCATCTTTTACTTTGACTTTCAAATGTTAAGTTTAAGTCATCCATGATGTAAAACTGAATTTTTATTATTTTAGTCAAAATGTGACAGAGTACGTTCATTGTAATCTCTTAATGTCTTAAAACTTCCCTAAACTTTGTATTCTCAGTGTATAATGAAATCATTAGTCATAGAATTTTTTAGTAGCTGAAACCTTTCACATATGAAATATATAGAATTTGGAATGTTGGCTTTTCATTGAGTTAAATTAATACTATCCGTTGCATTCTTCTAATAGGCACCAAACTGAATTTTGACAAATCCAGAAACCGTTGTTATTGTGTATTTTATGTAATTGTCTTGTAGTTATAGTGTATGAATGAAATAGTCTAAAAAAAAAAGGTTTTATCACTACAACAGCGACTGATTAGTATAAAGTAGGTAGGTGTAAACACCTGTAATACGAAGAATGTTTTACTTATTTATCAACTGTTTTTACTAGTAAAATAAACTGTTTTATAAAACTTCTCGCCTGATCATATGAGGTAAATACATCCAAAATGTGTACAGATCTTCCCTTTAAACATTCATTAACTTAACAAAATATTTAAAACATAATTTAAGATCATTGTTTGTAATCATATTAATTTCTAAAATATTTATATTGTTACATCTCCGTTTGTTAATTGATTTTCAGTAACTTCGTTCCGACGAAACTTAAG